GAGTTTCAGCTGTCAGGTGAAGCTACAAATACAGGTGAGAAAGCAGCCAAAGAATTTCCAGCAATGACACAGAAAGCGGCTATAAAATGGATGGCATTTCTGATTGTGATGAAATGGGTATCTATTATGAATGCATACCTCAAAGGGCCTCCATCTCAAAGGCAGAAAAAATGGCCCAGATTCGAGGCTATAAAAGATTTCGTAACTCCAGTGTTCAGCATCAATGCCCAACAGAGGACGATGAGCCAGTCACCCACAGCTGGTGTTACAACTTTCTGTCCAATTTCAGGAACACTTCCTCTACTGCTTCCCAATCCCTACCAAGCCACAACCCTGCCAATGCCCATGCCACAAGATGACTTCAGGTCCTTAAAAAGGCAAAGTGCTCTGTTTATTGCAGTATTTATGCATTTCTTCACTAGTTAACACATATAGAACTGTGCTACCATCTTTGCCTTTTTATCCTTTTTAAAAATGTGTCGCTGCCCTAACCGGTTTGGCTCAGTGGATAGAGCGTCAGCCTGCGGACTCAAGGGTCCCAGGTTCGATTCCGGTCAAGGGCATATACCTTGGTTGTGGGCACATCCCCAGTGGGGGGTGTGCAGGAGGCAGCTGATCGATGTTTTTCTCTCATCGATGTTTCTAACTCTCTATCCCTCTCCCTTCCTCTCTGTAAAAAAATCAATAAAATATATTTAAAATAAAATAAAATAAAAATGTGTCGCTGATTAAGTTTTTGAGTGTTGTGCTCTTACCCCCATTTTTAACATAAGCCCATGGTTTTTATTGCATGATTTTGCACACTGTGGTGATTTATAGGAATGCATATGTCATATTCTAGCAGAACTAAACATATACACCACATACCTCATGAATTCATACTGATACTTTAATTCAATTGTAGGACTATGTGATTTTTGCTTAACCTCATCAATAGTATATCTGCATCTCCTTTCTTCCACACCCCAAATCCTGGTTCTCAAGGATATAGGAGATGAGAGACTATTCCAAAATGACTCATCTGCTTTAATCCATCTTCTATACTCAACAGAATAACAATACAAAACTATCACAACTTATATAATTACTGAGAACTCTCCTGGAAGGGAGCCCTAACTGGCCACTTTCAAGAGTTGGCAGGGTGAAGACCACTATGGGGCCTCTTAAGACCTCATCACAGACCCCCTTGCCCACACCACTACTGGTTTGGACAACACCTTTTCCAGGTTCAACTGCTCTTCTCAAGTTGGCCTGCCTGCTTTGTCAGAATCCCCCTCTCCCAGCTTCCCCAGGCACACATGCTGACACCGTGCAGATGCTGACACTATTGGTGGTTTGTCCTGCTTGTACTTAAGGGTTCCTGTGGAGACTTCATCAGTTAACTATTGTAAATGCTGTCCACCAGTTTTCATTTTTTTCTAGATGTTCTGTCTGCTTTTGTATGGGGATTCTGAGAGATTTAAAAACCAAGCCACTGTCACTATCTTCCCAGAGTTCTTCCTTAAAAATCAATTTTTCATAGGTTGTCTTTAAATATGAACATTGATGTTTTTATATATACAAAATGTTTAAAATTTTTATTTAGTCAACTGTATTTGACCTGCCCCCATTGTTTTTATATGACAAAGCCTTTGTCTGTATGTGTTAGATAAACATATTTTTACAATTTCTTATGATATTTTAAGTCTCATTTTTTACATATACCTCTCTTATCCATCTTATCCATTTGAACATTATTTTGTAAAGTGCTATAGAATGTCTAAGTTAATTCTTTTTTTCCCTTGAACACTAAACTTCCCATTTAGTGAATTTTTAATTCTTCCTTTATTATAGCTCAATTATAAATATTAAGGTCTATGGGTTATTTCTTCTTGATATGTCTGTCTAGTTTTGTAGTTGAACCAAAATGTTTATTTATTTTAGTTTAATAATATATTTTAATGTCTAAGGCATTCCCTCCTCACTATTTTTCTTTTAAAAGAAAAGTTCAGTTGTTTTTATCCACATTCTTTCTTTCTTTCTTTCTTTTTTTTTTTTTTTTTTTTTTTTTTTTTTTCCCACATGGGGTCAGGGAATTCCTCACAATTCTGGCATAAACTTCCCAATTGAGATGCAAAGACAAAAAAAAAGGTTTAAGAATAAAAATGAGAGGGAAAAAAAACAAAAAGAACATCTAAGAACTGGGGAAAACATCAAAGATGTAAAGTATGTCTAATTGAATAAGAAGAGAGAACTGTGACAAAGAAATATTTAAGAACAACGCAGAGCAGGGTAACGATTAAAAAACCAGCTCTGGGCAGTTGACCTCCCCAAACCAGTTTAAAGTAGAGAAGCCCTATAGCCTCAGAGGCCAACCCCAAAACACTGCCACCCAGAGGCTGAGCCACAAACTGACTCTTAGGTGAACACAAATTAAGGCAGTCTGGATCACAAATACAGCCTGCTTTAAAATCAGGACTGTGATTTACAACACGGAGGAACAGTGTATC